CTCCTCCTCCTCCGTCCCTCCTCCTCCTCCTCCTCCTCCTCCTCCTCCTCTCCTCTTCCTCCTTTTCCTCCTCCTGGGGTGGGGTTTCTGGTGGAAGGTTTATTGTGGTCGGGCCCCTGCTGCAGGCCCGATGGCCTGGGAAGGGCGGGCCGGGCGCGCCCGGCGCGCGCCCCCCCGAGGTGCGGCCCGCGGCGCCAGGCGTCAGGAGGGAAAAAACACATTGACACAATTCATCGTCGATCCCCCCGAAAATATGGGAAGTGGGGGGGAAGACGAAAACCCAGAAAATATGGGAAGTGGGGGGGGGAAGACGAAAACCCAGCACATATGGAAGATATGGGAAGTGGGGGGGAAGACGAAAACCTAGAAAAGATGACAAAGCATGGTGAATCCTGTTGTTTGTGTATATGTCTTTGTGTGTCCCAGGGCCCCTTCCAGAGGGTGGCGGCGGCAGATATGACAGAGAGAGTCGGGACAGAGCGCCGCAGAGCCGCAAACACGCCCACGGCGCTGTAGGCAACAAGAGATCCAACGCATGGAAAAAAACATAAAAAAAACAAACAAAAATAAAACAAAAAAACAATGTTTTTTCGTAGTTGTTGGCCTCGAGGGGCCCTCGCCGGGCCCCGGGGACCCCGCATTGAGAAAGTCACGACATCGGATCTCTGGGTAACGGCGATGTAGGTTTTGGTATTGTGGGAACGCGCAGCTCGTGCTTTCCTACACCTCGCTGTGTCGCTTTATTTCGGTACATTTGCATATTGGAAATGTAGGAAAGTGTGGATCGTGCTTTCCTACATGCTGGTTCCCAACACCGCCGTTCAGCAACGTCGCCGCTAGCGTGACCTTGGAAGAAGAGACAATTCCAAGAGCGGGGTCTTTGTTCAGAGGTCCGCGCGGACTTCTTGGATCTGCGCTGGGCCCCCCTTGCGGCGCCTGCGGCGCCGCCTCCGGCCCTGCGCGCGCCAGGGGGAGGGAAGGGCCAGCGCCGACCCAAGAAGAAGTCCGCGCGGACTCTCGGACGCCTACGATTGCACCGCTGTCCTCGTCCGAGAGAGGGGCGGCGGAGGCGGAAGCGGCGGGCAGGTCCTTCTACCCGGCCCATCGAGACGGGCTTCGCGGGATCCCCATCAACAGCGCAGCCATGGTCGAGGAGCGAGCCTCGGGGCAGCGCGGCCCCCGCTGCCCGCGGGCCCCCGTCGGCGCCCGCGCTCGGCAGCACTGTCGCCTGGGCATTGCCGCGGGGCTCTCCCCCCTTCCACCAGCACCAGGGAGGAGGGCGTCCTGTCAGCTGAACGCCCTCGGCAACGTCAGCGGTGGGCGAGTTGATGGAGTGGGGGAGGAAGAGGCCCAGGCACGGCCGTGCCTCGGGCCCGGTGGGCCCCAGCACGCTTCTGCGAGTCTCCCTGGGCCTCGCCACCAGGAGAAGCAGGAGGATCAGGAGGAGCTGGTCAGGTTTGCTCCCGCCCCGGACCCTGACACCCGGAGGTCGCCGCAGGCCTCTACTAGAGGCTTCCAGAGGCCCGAGAGGGGCCCGAAATTTCCGAAGCCTCTCTGCCCTCGAGGGCCGAGGGCAAAATTTGGCAGGAGGAGCTCTGACGTCTTGGTTGGAGCGCCCAGTGGCCTGCCCGGGTGGGAGGAGGAGGAAGAGGAAGAGGAGGAGGAGGAGGAGGAGGAGGACCAGTGCAAACCCAAGACTCAAGACTCATCGACGATGTTAAAGTAAACCCTTACCGCAGCTCCCTCTTGATAGGCCCCATACAGGGATTCATCTGCACTGAAGGAAGGGCCCCGTTGGGAGAACTATTTGAAGGTCCTGAAGCGCGCAGCATCAGCATTCTCGGAACCCGCTCCTGTGACCCCAACACCGCGCATCAGCGCAACTGCTGCGCCCTAGCAGTCCTGAGTCGTTGCAAAACACCGCTTCATGTACGCTCATCAGGAGAATCCGTGAAACTCGTTGTACATGTTTAAGACGAGTGTGCGGGGCGCTAAGTTTGAGAACCGCCCTCAATCCTCGAAGCCCTAGTACGTGTTGAAAACGAATGTGCGCGGCGATCAGGCGAGAGACACATTTTGAAAACGGCCTACCCTCGATCCGTGGAACTCTTGCAAGCTTCTGAGACGAATGTGCGCGGCGCTAAGGCGCGAGCCACATGTTGAAAACGGCCCGCCCTCAATCCACGGAACGCTTGCGCATGTTTAAGACGAATGTGCACGGTGCTAAGGCGAGAGCCACATATTGAAAACCACCCGCCCTCCATTTGTGAATTGTTGACCATGTTTAAGCTTCAAGGTCATAAATGATAAGGAAGTCTCGGACGAAACGCCCGGCACGCCCTTCCGACCGGCCTCGGGGTGCGACAGGGAGGAGTTAATCATTAGGAACAGGGATGGAGGAAGAGGAGGAGGAGGAGGAGGTGGAGGAGGAGGAGGAGGAGGAGCTGGATCCAGCAGCTCGAGCGGCAGTCAGTTGGGCGGCCGCCCGGTCCAATGCAGCGGCAGAAGGGGGCGACCGCACGGTCTTGGGATCACGGGCGTTCTCCGAGGACGCCTCCAGCAGCTGAGGCCTCCGAGGTGCCCAAACCGTGCGGCGGCGGACGCCGCGGTGAGGGCGTTGCAGGCGACTTTCTCCCCCAGTCCCCGAGCTCCGCCCGAAAAGTCTGGCCGTTCCGAGAAAGAGGGAAAAGCCTTGGGGTACACCCCAAGGGGGCTGCTCGGACGCAGCCCCATCGGGGATGGGCGCCCCCCCATCGTCTGTCCCAGGGCCGGGCCCGAAATCCGTGGTCCATCCGAAAACCCCACGAACCTTGGGATAATAGGGGTCGACGCATCCCCATGTTCGAGGTTACCGCGTTGTCTGTCACCGCATCGCTCCAGCGAGCCCCCTTCGAGTAGGGGGTCGCCTACAGAATTGATTTGCCCCCCAATTGATTTGGTCGTCGAATCCACGAGCGAGTGCCTACATGATGCTCGCAGATCTATAACTAAAGATGATGCGCATGTGGCACATTCGACTTGAAAACCGAGTTCGGGGTAAATCACTTTTGCAGTCGATCCTCTCATCACCCCCTGGGCGGGCACGAGGGCGCGAGGTGGGGCAGCTCGTCGCGCGACCTGCCCGTGCGGAGCGCCCAGCTCTCCGGGCCCCCTCGCGGCGCACCGCCGTCGGGCCGTGCCGCGCGCTCCTTCCAGGAGGCGCCGCCCGGCCCCAAGGGTGGAGCGGCCGCTCGGAGGACGCGCGATGATAGGTCGGGCCTGTCCCTCTACAGGACGAATGTTCAGAAATCGTCAAAAAGATAGTCTGAGGACGGTTTTTTGACCAATCCTGATGGCTTCTCTGCGTATCATTAGTTCTTCGTCCAACGTCCGCCTGTAGGGGGGGACATGCCCGACCTAAGCGTAATGGGAGGCGATGCATGGGGGGGTCGGCCAGGGCTGTCGAAAAGGGGTCCTTTGGGGCCCCAAGGGTGGCCTTGAGGGCCCGAGATGGGCACCTTTCTGCCCCCCCCAGCGAACGCACCCCACTGAGTCGCGCCCAAGCCGCTGCATCATTAGGCGGCGAGTCCGGGGGTGAAGTGAGAAGGGGCGGGCCTTCTCAGAAGACTCGGAAGCCCCCCAGCCTTCTGAGAAGCTCCTTGGGCCTTCCCCGAGGGCACAGGAAGCTTCTCGGGAGGCGCGAGGGCTTCCGAGGAGCCCCGCCGCCTTCTGCGAAGGCCGTCTCCTTCTCACTTCCCCCCCCCTCGCTCGCCGCCGATTCACGTACGGCGTCTCCGCGCGCTGCTGCTGAGCATCGCGCCAGCACCTCGGAGCCCCAGCGCGCCACGTGGCGCGCAGGGCAGCTGGCTGCACCGTGGCGCGGTTGCCGGCCCTGGGCGAGAGCCAGGCACGCGCAGGTGCTTGGCATCGCTCGGTCCTGTGCATTCTTCCTTCGGCGAGGACCATCGAGGAGCATCCTTGAGCTTTTGGCGAGAAAACCACGCACGAAACCAAACAAAAAACACAGGCAATGGAGGTCCGAGCGATGGCGAGGGTGGCCACGCGCCCTTCCAGCGGTCGGCCCGTCTCCGGCCGGGCGCGCTGGCCCCCTGCCTGGCAGACGGCAGCGCGCCCGGCCCAGAGGCAGGCGGCAGGGCGGCAGACGCCGCGCCCGTCGCGCGGCGGAGGGCACCGCCTGCCAGGCCCGCGCCCTGCGAAGCAGCACCGCTCGGGCCCTCCTCCTCCTCCTCCTCCTCCCCCTCCTCCTCCTCCTCCTCCTCCTCCTCCTCCTCCTCCTCCTCCTCCTCCTCCTCCTCCTCCTCCCAGGAGGTCCGTGCTGCCGCTCCGCTGCCCCCGGGGCCAGAGCGCAGGCGCTGGAAGTGCCGAGGTGGGGGCGCCGGCCATGCGCCGAGCCATGCAGACACGCCGACGCCCCAGCTCAGGATCTCCAGACGCACCCCAGCGCGGAGCCCGGGTCCGGATGTTCCGCGCGTGGATCCAGCCATCCCTGAGATCCTGGCGACTGCATCTTTTCGAGCCGGGCGTTTTCGCCTTCTTTCGGGCCCCGGGACCCTCACAGATCGATCCGGCTGACCCTCACAGGTCGATCCGGCTCGAAAAGTTACGCGGAAAGGTGGGCTCCGGGGCTCCAGGCGCGGATTTTCACGATGTTGCAGTTTTGCCGCTGCGTCGGATCTCAGGGACACGCGCCGCCAGCTTCCTGCCGGTGCGTGGACGAGCCCGTGCGACACGACCTGGGCTCAAGACGCTCGGCCGGGTCGAATTTTGCCAGCTCGGCCAGCCCTGCTCTCCCCTCCCAGTTCTCTCGGGTCGGGCGAAAGGGGGGATTGGGAAAGGGGGGGTACGAAATTTGCTGCATGCAGCTGGTTTCGGCCTCCCCACCGAGGGGCCCATTCCTCGATACATGGCCGCCTCCGGCGCCGGGAGGCGCCGGGAAAATCAGCTACGCGAGCTGATTCTCAAACCCCCCCTTTGCTATCCCCCCCTTTCGCCCGACCCGATTCTCCCCGCCCGGCCTGTCGCAGCAGGCTCGAGGCGATGGCGGCGGGGCCGGCCGCCGCCGGGGCCCTGGAGGCCCACCTGCTGGCCCTCGCCGGGGTCCTGGACCTGCAGGCGAGCCTGGTGCGCGGCGCCCTTGGCCTGCACCAGGATCCTTCGAGCTCGGGCCAGGGCTCCGCCGAGGCGGTGTTGAGCCAGTTTGAGGTCGCGGTCGCCCGCGTTCGGTCCGACCTGGTCGCGGTGACCGCCGCTGCCAGAGGCCCTGAGAGGCCTCTGGAGGAGTGCGATGTCGAGGACACGAGCCCCCCCGAGGTCACGTCAAAGACTGGCCAGGACATTGGCAAGTCGGGAGTGCGACACCCTGTCTTGCAAAGTCAGATGTTGGTCGTCCGGTGCATGTTTTGATTGCTGCACTTCGTTGTCCACTCCATTTTTCTGTTGCTGCACTGCAGGATTCGGCTCTTTGTTCGGGTCTGGGGGAGGTTTGTCAGGCTTTTGTGTTTTCGTATGGGTTTTATTATGGAAATGTTGCACTGCATTTGTTTGTCCGTGCCACCCTCTTGTGCAGTGCAATTTTCTGGTTTCGTGTCGCCGTCGGGAAAAATTGGTTTCGATGTATAGTGGATGTCCTGGTCCATCTAGGTTAAATGGGGGACCGAGTAGATAGGGGTCGGAGGATCGCGCCGTATCGTCGATGCATCGGCGATGCAGCTCGATGTGAAGCCCAATTCTCTCCACGCTGGCGTCGCCGATGCATCGACGACGTCGCCGATGCATCGCCGACGCGTCGGCGATGAATCGCCGATGTATCGGCGATGCGGCACGATCCTCCGACCTCATCTATTCCGACCCCATCCAGGAGGCCTCTAGTCTAGCGTGTCCGCGTTCAGGGGGCCCTGAGGACAAGCTGGGCAATGCCGACTCAGACTCCGCCGCAGAGGTTGCGTTGGACGCCGACCCTCCCGAGGACCTCACCGCGAGAAGAACTGCCGTGAGTTATGCAGACCAGAAGGAGAGCGGCCTAAGCCAGAATGCGACGGGCAAGTTCCTGAGCGCGCGGTCATTGAGCTCCATGGGAGATAGCAGCCGCGCAAACACCCAGTACTTGATGCAGGTAGAGTCCGTGTCGAGGGGCCAGACACAGCTCTCCCCCTGCATCGACGGCGCGCTGAATCCAGATTGGGCTCCGAGGCTGGTGTGGGACATGGTGATAATTGCCCTTGTCCTGTGCGACAGCGTGGTGATCCCGTTCCAGTTGGCCGAGTTTCGCACGCAGCTGGGGTTCAATGAAGTTTGGCTCTGGCTGACGTTCAGCTTTTTCCTGTGTGACCTGGTGATGAACTTCTTCACGGGCTACCGCTCGGGCAAGAAAGGCGAGCAGTTGCAAGAGGGCACCCTCGTCACCAACAGGTGCAGAATTGCAACCAACTACATCCGTGGATGGTTCTGGATTGACTTTATGAGCACTGTGCCGTGGCACGTCATCGCCGACGCTTTCAGCTCGGAAACCACGGCAGACACGACGTCGGCGGACCAGTTGACAAAGCTCGCAAAGGTCATCAAGTTGACGAGACTTCTGAGGCTGATGAGAATGCTGCGCCTCTACAAGGTCTCGGTCATTTGGGAGCGCCTCGAGAGCCGGATCGGGTCCATCACGGCCTTGAATGTGGTGAGTCTGATCAAGGTCCTTGGCATTTGGGCTGCGATCTGTCACTGGGGCGCGTGCTGTTGGTGGATGGTTGGCAAGAGAAACAGCTTGGCGATGATCTTGACGTTTCAGGATGACGATCCGAATGAGCTCCATTGGACTGAGGTGCCGCGCATGCACAGCCCGCACCAAGACTACGAGTTCTGGACGTGGGTAGAAAAGCCTGCGTCGGAGCAGTACGTGTTTTGTTTCTACTGGATACTTGGAGTGATGCGTACCATGCCAGCCGAGGTCACGCCTGTCAACTTGATAGAGAGGGTGTTCGTCCTTCTTTTCATGTTTTTCGCCGTCATGGCTTTCGCCGTCAACGTCGCCCGCCTCACGCAGGCTTGGTTCAAGTTCAGCGCGCGCAAAGACGCGTTCAAGGAGGAGATGGCGTTCGTCCGCATGCACTTGAGAACAAACAAATGTACGACTTCGCTGCAAATGCGCGCGCAGGGATACCTGCAGTACCTCTTCGAGAAGAGGAAGGTCCATGCCAAGGAGACGGGCTTGCTGAGCGCCCTACCCGACGGGCTGAAGCTGCAGATGAGGCAGGCCTACAGGATCCCCTATCTCAGATTGATTCCGGGACTCGAGAACTGGACTGAAAAAGTTCTGCGACAGTTCTGTGACGCCACCGAGACCGTGGACTATCTGACCGGCGACAAGATTACTGAGAGGTGCAACGACGCCGAAGCCGCCTACGTGCTCATGATCGGTAGCATGCAGGTATTCCACGAGACCCCATCGATGACCCGACTCTCCACCAACGATGCCAACAATGTGACGTCGGTGCTCAGGGCGAGTTGGTCGTCTATCGAAAGCGGCCCCCCCCTTACGGTGGTGGACGAGCATTGCCTTTTCGAGAAGGAAGCGAAGGCGGTGTGCAAGAACACTGTGGTGGCAATGGAGTGTTCTGAGGTGCTGCGCATAGACCGTCTGAAATTTCAGGCAGTGATGCAGATGCGCGGCAGCAGTGAGTACGAGGACTGCTTGGCAAACAGAGAAAATGTCCGGCAGAGGGCAGCCGGAACCCCCACCTACGGCAACCAGCGGCGCTCGCGGGCCTCGGTGGCATGGCACCACATCATAGCTCGCCTGGGCATCCCAGGTGGTACCTCAGGGTAGGTCGCTTTACCAGGCAACTAGATTCAGCCACGCGCAGAGGGGAGCACCCCTGCTTCTTAGAAGGCGCGGGCCTTATCTATAGATGTAAGGCCGGCGCCCTCTAAGAAGCAGCCTGCTTCTAAGAAGCCCTCCCCCCTCCCCCCACCCCCTTGTGCGCGCCGCCAAGCTTTACCAGGCAACCAGATGAGGGCGGTGACAAGGCACGAAAGTTTGCTGGGTGCACGCGCGTCGGCGCCGTGCTCGGGTGTCAGATCGGCGTCTGCTGTCCGCACAGAGGCAGCGGACGAAGGTGCACGTTGTACAAAGGGTTGTGGCAACACCTGACTCGATTCACGCGAAACGTACTGACCTCTACGAAAAAACACTCGTCGGCGTGAGTCCAGCAGAGCTTCTCATCCGCCTCCTCCGCTAAATAATGTTCGCCGCACGTGGACGTCAAATGGACATGGCCCTCTGGCCAAAGAACAACATTGCCCAGGGCGTGATTTCTGTGGATGCTGGTTAGCTCCCACTCTGCTAAAGTTTTCGGCAGGGAGAGTGCAAGGGGAAGGAGTGCAAGGGGAGGGAGGGGAGAAGAAGAGGAGTGTAAGGGGAGGGAGGGGAGGGGCGAGGGGGAGAAAAAAAGATTCCTGGTATTCTCCGAATGTCTCCAGAGAGGCATCGGGGAACATGACATGAATTGAATTGCTTGGCCCCTCCAGACTTCTCAGGGTTCCTCGGAGAGGGCTTCGTTCCTGGAGGAGCCTCCGACAATGTTGATTTCCTGGGCTCCCCAATTGTTCCCAGGGAAGCCGCTGAGACCATGAGTTTTCGGGTTTCTCTGAACGTTCACGTAGATCGGCGGCGAGCGAGGGGGGAAATGGGAAGGAGAAGGCCTTTTCAGAAGGCGGTGGGACTTCTCAGAAACCCTCGCGCCTTCTGAGAAGTTGTCTGTGTCCTCGGGGAAGGCTTAGAAAACTTATCAGAAGGCCAGGTGACTTCCGAGCCCTCTGAGAAGGCTCGCCCTTTCTCACTTCCCCCCCGGGCTCGCCGCCGAGTAGAGGCACATACGAACATCCCCATGCTATCTCGAGTTGAACATATGTTTTCAAGCTCGTCTGGTATGGCTCAAATCGTCTGGTACACCTCGTCCCCATCCACGGTGCTTCTCCAAGCTGAAGGCTATCATAACCAGATGTCCAGTGTTGGGGTGGTATCTGTTCGGGGCGCCCCCAGTGGGTCCAACGTATTTGAACCCAGGGGGCGCTGGTTCGGCGCCCTGAATCTCCCCAGTCCGATGTGGGAAAGGTAATACGTCCGAACTTCTGCAGGAAAACCAGGCGATGGCATTGCAAGTTTAAACAAATGACCGAAAGCTCAGCTGACTGAAGCATCGACGAACCACTGGCAGACTAGTTATTTCTCCCCTGTTGGTCAGCAGGCACTAGCAGCCGCCGACGGGAACATATTGCATATGTGTGTGTGGACCCTCGTGGGTTACATATTAACCGCGACGACATCGGAAAGTCAATCGAGACACCATCGGACGATCATCGGGATACGATCCACGTGTCATTCAAAGTGGCGCGTTCCCGCTAGCGATCCCATTGCTTTGGCGAATGGCCGCCCCAGTTCAGGTCCCCACTCCCACGCCTGGTGTTTGGGTCGCACGTGACCCGACTCGTTTCTAGCTGCTTGTAACAAACCACGTCACCGTGCCAGCGCAGCAGGGAGAAAGTCGGGAGGGGAAGAGTCACACAGACACAATTAATCGTCGATTACCAGGAAAGTATGGGAACATATGGGAAGTGTGGGAAAACGAAGACCAAGAAAAGATTGGAAAATATGGGGAGTCCTGGGGTTTTTGTCTATGTTTTCGTGTGTCCTTGGGCCCCTCTAGAAAGTTGGGGTTACGATTCGCTCCAGCTCCGTGCCTCGTCTGAGCTGGTGGGGTTCTGGAAGCCCCCTTGCGTGTCCGCAGACTCGTTCGTCCCCTTCTTCCTCCTCCTCATCGTCCTGCTCTTCCTCCTCCTCTCCGTCCTGCTCCTCCTCCTCCTCCTCCTCCTCCTTCTCTTCCTCCTCTTTTTCCTCCCGTGCCAGGTCTCGAGAGGACCGCGCCACTTCAGAATTCAGGACATGGTTGAAGCGACAACAGCATCCAGCCATGTCACCCGAATGTTCAGCGGCGCGTCTTGAGCAGATAAGTTTCGTCGCTTGCAACACGCATAGCGCCACCCGTGGGCTCGCCCAGGGCATATTACAGCCGGCCCGGATTAGTAGGTCGACCTTGCCAGTTCAAGGGTACCCATTTGTGTTTTATGTTTCGCGGCACGTGCCTTCTTACATTCCTACGGCGATGTGGCCCTCGGAAAGGTCTTGTGTCTGCTCGCGTGTCCTGTCCAATCAAGGCCGACTGTATTGGACGAGCTGCACACCGTAACAGTCGTGACTTTCACCAGCACACAAGACAGAGTTGTTGGTTGTAAAGTTGAAAAACATTCATTTCGAGAAGCGCTCATTTCGATGCACATCCCGTCTTGCACACGGAACAAAGTAGACCAACTCAAGCATGCGTGCTATTGCGAGGCGATGGCACGGTGGTTTTCTAAGACTTGCGGTTCTCTGGCGGGCAGATGGGTACCAGCAACCACCACGGATCTCAATTCAGTTTTCACGGAGGAGGTCGATGGGATCAGCGGGTCGTACGGACATGGCGAAGAGGAAAGAAGGTCGGCAACGTTGTTCAAGCCATGTTCCATCGCCCGCGATTTGTGCATAATCAAGACGATGCGAGACGCAGGATACACTTCTGCAGCCTCCAATGGTGTGACGCGAACGTTCGACGATGTAGCCTTGCCATGGGCATTCTTGTCCTCGATCACGTGGTGCACGACATTTAGACGTAGCCTGAGAAGGCTACAACCACGCAGATGAGGACGTGAATGGGATCACTCACCGTTGCGTATTGGAGTACGCTGGGGCAGGGACATGACCCCCACACCCGAGGACGAGAAGCAGCAGTGCATCGAACCATCGGCAGCGAGCGCATGACTACGAAAGGCGTGAGTTCACAAAGATCGTGTACACCCAATCTCGGCCAAAGCAGCGTGGGTCAGAAGTCATGCAAGATATACGATGGTGGTGGAGGCAAACCAACTACTGGTCGAGGCCCTTGAAGCAGGCGAGAGAGCGACACGCACAAAAATGGAAGGATACACCGAGAGCCACGAGCTGCACGCGAAGGAGCTGCGCCAGCGACTACAATGAAGACGAGAGGTGCGAGAGCGACTAGCGTGGGCCTACACGTAGAAGGACAAGGACACGCAGCTGGAGTTCAGCATCAGGGCGACGGCGATCAGCAAGTGGCTGAGGCAGCGCAAGAGACAGCACAGGCAGAGACTTGAAACGGACCGATCGGGAGTTTCCGAGGAGGCACGACAGCAACGCGACTTCCATAAAGCACATCGGTTGGCGAGACTCACCGCGGCCAAAGGACGAGGACCACGACGGCGCAGCTACTGACAGTTACAGACGAGTGGATCAGCTACAGGGTGGATCACGAGGAGGCAAGAAGAAGGCGCGCAGGGTGGCGCATCAGTTCGGGCCGTTGACTACGGCGCAATGCCACAGATGGTTCACACGCTACCCGAGCAGTTCAGCACCGCGACCGCCGAGGAGACGGAGGAGGGCGTCGAGGCTTTCAAGCGTGAAGTTTGGCAGCTGCGGTCATGGCGAGCGGCTCCGCGGGGGAGCATTGGCTCTGAGTTATCGCGCGCGGCCGCGCTCCCCAAGTGGACCAACAAGAGGCGCAAGCAGATCAGCCACGGCGTCTGCCACGAGCAAGGGCAGGAGAAGATCTCGGCGCTACCAGCATGGTTGATAGCCCAGTGTCTTGCCGAAGGGATTCCAGAAAGTGGAAAATCATGTATTTGTTTGGATTTCGTTCGGCACATGCAAGATCGGAAAAGGCAATCAGAAGAAGGGGGTTGACGAAGAGAGACTCGCCGTGCTTGCGTGCACTATCGCGAAGGCGCACAACAGGTGCGAGTTGACAAGAGGCACGTTACCCGAGGTGGAGTCGCGGACATGCGGATGTCTCCCAGGCAGGCGACGGGAGGCCGCAGCCATTGTTCAGCAAGCCCTCTCGCGGAGAAAAAACTCGATCGTGCCAGTCGCATGACGCGGCCAATGCCTTCAACGGCATCGACCACGACAGCCTGCGCGACGAGGTGGGGCACCTTTTCCGAGAGGATGACTGGCAGATCATGATGTCAAGGGTCATTGTCGCACGTTTTAGAGCACCAGGTGACGCAACCAGCAGCGCGCTTCTCCTACAGCAAGGGCCTCGGCGAGGCTTCCCGCAGGGGCATATGCAAGACAAATGAGAGTGGGATCGGTCAGCGTGGACAACGACAAGAAGGGCAGCTTGTTCTGCCCATGGGCCAAGAAGTGGGCGCAGGTGGTTCTCGCGTTGCACGTAGACGACGCCGCCGACAATCTTGATGCGCAGAAATCGACGGGGCACATCGCGAATTCAGGCGCATACCAGAACGCAGCAATCACACGGCGCATGGAGAATATCAAAATGGCCCAGAATGTCAGCAAGCAGTAGAACCGCTTGCACCCATGCGGACAGAACGCAGTGCATCTCGATGCACTCGTTTTACGTGAGCAGTGTCCGGATGGAAAGACGGCAGTACGTGCCGGGTACTTTGGGCCCAGCATACATTCCGCATTCGCACTCTGCGAGATGGTACATCGGTCGATAGCAGGACGAAGTGATTGGTGCACGTTCGGCAAGTTCTGGAGGTGCTGCCACGCCCCCCTTCGGCTGGGAGAACAACTTCTTCTAGGGCTACGCAGCGGGCGCATGCTACGCCGGGGCAGAAGCCCCTGGCGCCACGGCTGGGCCCCCGCGAGCAAGCAAGTGGCAGCCCACCCTCAGTTCCCTCGCATTGCTTGCAAAACTATCGATGCGAGGAGCTGCCCAGGAAAAAAGAAGACGGCGCCGCGCGAACGTCGCGCAATCTCCAGGCTATCCCCGAAGGGAAGCCAGCAGCCCTGCGCGTCGAGATGAGGGCCCGAAGGCGCCGATGGCCCCGGCGGGAGCTTCACAAATATGTAAGGCCGATCTGCTCAGTTTCTCGCGGCGGCATTCGGCCGCGCTCGGCGCGGCGAACTGACCGAGAAAGACGAGAATTTGAGCGGCGACGCGGGGGCGAATCCACCGCGCGTAAAGACACGGGAAGACATCATAACCATAGAGCTATTCGACGACGGCGCCAGGCCACAAGGAACACACAGGCTGGAGGGCACACTATCCGAGTGCGGGGGGACTTCGCGCAGCTGGATGCGGGAGGGGCCAGGGCGCGCCATTTCCTGAACATCGCACATCACGAGCACGCACATAAGGAGATAGGAAAAGGAGGACCACGCAAATGCGCGACCATGAGGGGGGGCGGGGAGGAGCGCGGGGAACGCATCCGGACAAAGAAGCAGCTTGCCGCGCACTACATGACGACGAGCGCATGGAAAGCAGCCCCCGGCCCGAATGCGTCGCATTCTCAGTCAGTGCGCGATGCGT